GCTGCATCGAGCAGCGCCACTCCGGACAACGGCAGGCGAGATCCAGAAAAAAGCACGCCCGAACACTGCGACGTGCCAGAACGGCCGAGAATGCCCGGCAGGATGAACTACGGGGGGAAAAAAAACGCGGTCCGGCGGCAAGCGCAAGCACTCGTTTGCGGTCAGTGAAGTATCTCACATCGTAGTCTAGAAGTGGCAACATTCATTCGAGAGGTTTAGAAATACTCAAAATACAAGGATTTCTCAATACGGATATGCTCTTGCCAATCGCTCTTCGCTGGAGAATCGCTGAACTTATAGTCCCTTCTGGAGACAAAAAAAAACATTTTTTGCAGCACTGAACAGGAATGTATGCGACTTGATGGACCGGAACATTCCTATTCAGGTTTTTATTCCGATTTAACTTATTCACATTCCTTTTATTCCCTTACTTTCAAACCCTTACTTTTTACATAAACACACATCATCTAAAATTAAAATTACAATTTGCGATGCGATGGCCAGCCGGCTGACCACTGCTCAAACACTGGTCAGAGCGATTGGAGAAGCTGCTAGCTTCGCGGATGGAGATACGAATATCCAGGATGGCCAACATACTGGTCATCCACTGGTCAAAGAAGTAACTAAAGAGGTTGCCAGCCCTTTAGATGGGGAACCAGTCCGTGAGTCGGCAGCTATTTCAAGCGTTGCAAAAAAAAGAAATGGCTACTCATAAAGAGCTCCCGATCGTTTCATTTTCTGGGAAAGCTTTTTCGGTCGCTAGGGATACTTGCTGGAAAGAAGCAAGCGAGTCCCGGGGAAAACATGTTTGTTGCGATATGTGACGCGCGTGACCCTGACACGCATCGAATCTCCCCGGCCAAATCAATGGGGCCATCATAAACAAACTCATCCACAAGATAAGCCAAGCACCGTTCCGTTGATAAGAATATTGGAATTTTGAAGAAATTAGACAATAGTTGAAGAGCTAGACATTTGTTAAGGGACCATGAGGCATGTGGTTAGCACATGTTTCGGAGGATCAAGTGCTAGAAGGCCATTTTTCGGTGTTTCATCTCTTAGCTGTAAACACAGACTTTTGATAAGTTGCGGTAGACTACGCCGCTTTA